CTTTGTGGAATCTAAACACTAAGCGTGTTTGTAAAGAGAGTAATAACGTAATTCCTTGTGGCTTCCATTAATCAATAAGGGAATGGTTCAAGTGGCCAAATAGAAGGGTACAATTGAGCTGATCCCTTCGATTTCCTTGGTGACTTTGGAGTCGTATCTTAGATCAAGAAGAACAAACAATATTTGATGTAAGATTATGAAAATACTTTATGATTTTATTCTTTCTTGGTTCGAATTTATGTATAACACATCCCAATCGTGTTGAAGCCCGTTCACCAAAATGGTTAATCTCCGTTGAACTCCACAATAGAGTAGATTAGGCTCTAATGCATTAGGAATCAATTTCAATAATTTGGTTACTACTCAACCAATCTACAAAGTTTGAAATTCTCTCTCTCTTCCAATCAATGGAATTAACAACTCTCCTATCTCCCAAGTAATGTACTCAATATAGTATACAAGATTACAATATCCACAAAGGAATCCAATAATGCACTAGATTTAATTTCAATAGTCTGGTTACAACTCTCCTTTTGAATGAGAGAAAGAGATGGACTAGGGTTTGTTGTCTCCTATCAAATGGGATAAAACATGAAGTATAAAATCTTATCCAACGAATATGTTGATCTTGATTATCAATGTCCGGGATTAAGCCTTCAATTCTAGAAGCACGTTTCTCATCATAAGCTATATTCATGAAATATACGACTTCGATCAACAATTCACTACAACACCTTGGTTTCCATATCTGTTGGATTCAATCGAGAGGGACCATATAAAATTTAATCAAACTATATATCTAATAAAATTCAAACTATATATCTAATATATATATATATATATATTTGTTACTTTATTCTATGTAATTTATATAATGTCCAGCTTATCATTGTCTTCTTGGAATGAAAATAATTTATTCATTTACTTGCCAAGTTTTCAAAGATCCAATGAAAATCAATTTGTGTTACGGCCTTCTATAAGATGAAAGAAGAATTAAATTTTGTTCTTCCTACACAATGAATGTAGTATTTTTATTTTTTATTTTCTTTTAACCTTTGCTTTGTATTATGTTGGTAGTAATCAATATGTATATGTAGAAGCATTATATCTTCATGACGATAATTTTATTCTTGTATCTGAAAAACTCTGTGCTATTAAACACATTGTAATTGATGAACCTACTCATCACGTTGCAAATTTTTCACAAGATTTTAATTTGATTAATAAAATATTTTTTGTACCTTGTACAACATGCGTAGTTAACAAAATTATTTTACTTCATTTGCAAGAGTTTTTTTTTTTTTTTTTATATGTAGAAGAATTATATCTTCATGACGATAATTTTATTCTTGTATCTGAAAAACTCTGTGCTATTAAACACATTGTAATTGATGAACCTACTCATCACGTTGCAAATTTTTCACAAGATTTTAATTTGATTAATAAAATATTTTTTGTACCTTGTACAACATGCGTAGTTAACAAAATTATTTTACTTCATTTGCAAGAGTTTTTTTTTTTTTTTTTTTTTTTTGTAAAATGTTTGAAAAAAATTTTTATGTTAAGGG